CAGAGAATGATGGGAGGTGGTACCACAATGTGGGGGTAGTTCCAGAAGGTCCTGTGAAGCTTTTATAGACCAAGAAAGGGAGAAGAGTGGGAAATCCTGGGCAGGGTATAAACAGGGGAGTGCAATTATACAATGTATACTTTTTAAACCTCCCTTTTATTGCTGGGTGGAGATACATTGTAAAGAATTAAAAGTGGATCCGGTTTATTCAACCATCAAAAAGAATGAAGTGCTGTTACATGCTAGAACATGGGTGAACCTCAGAAACATTATGCCAAGAGAAAGAAGCCAGACGCAAAATTTCACACACGATACAATTCCATCTACATGAATTACCCAGTGAGCAGTCCACGAGGGCAGAGCAGATTGGTTGCTGCCGGGGGCTGGAGGGGAGGGGAGGGGAATGGGAGAGAGTAATTAATGGGAAACAGGTTTCTTTTGGAGAGTCGCACCTGTTTGGAACAAGATGGAAATTATGGTGGCCCAACATGTGCATATACATAATGCCGTGAAATTGTTTGCTTTAGAGTGGTTAATGTTCTATACAGATGTAACAAAAAGAGAAAAGGGAAATTTTTTAAACATGAAAGAAGGAAGAAGAAAGTGGGTTTGAGACCCCAGGGAGGGGCACAGTGGCTCAGGTGAAGAAGGAAGGGAGGAAGGTGGCTTGGTCCAAACCAAAGGGCTAGGGATGGTGAGTAAAGAACCGATTGAAAGATGTAAGGGACACCGGGAAAGTGGGGAGGTTTCTAGATTTCCACACTGGAACAGCCCAGCTGTACTCGGTAGAGCAAGTGCCTTCCCTAAGCACAGATTCTGACTCCAGCACTGGGTGTCTTTCCCTAACATGGATGGCTGCCGCCTGTGCTTCCTGCCTGGCGAGGGAGCCCTGAATTCCTGCCCCATCCAGAAAGCACCATGGCCCACTGAGGGCAGGGATGGAGTGGCCCCTTCCAGCATTTGTGGCACCATATTTCATTGCTTTTGCCAGAATTGGCCCCATTTCCAGATCTATGTGATAGATATCTAGTACTCTGCAAAGATCATAGATGTGTATTTTAATTGCATCTACAGAATATACTGCAAAATACCCACCGAATCTTAATGCACAGGGTCATTGGACTCAGTCACTTGGGTCTGTTTTTCCCCCTCTGGCTGTTCTTAGTAAGGAGGGTAGACGGTGAAGGTGAATTCCACATCACGTCTGGGACCACTTCCTTGGTTAGGAGGGTACATGATTTTCTTCCACTCTGCTGTGGTCAAGTTGTCACTCATCTTCCCTCTTCCTTTCTCTCCTGCCTTCTCTTCTTTATTGATCTTTCCATCCTACAATATTCTCCTCTTTCATTCCATCCATCCATCCATCCATCCATCCCACCCACTCTCCTATCCATTTATACACCCACTTGTCCATCCCTACACCCACCTGTCCATCCATCCTTCCATCCACCTTCCTTTCTTTATTCCTTTCTTCCCTCTCTCCTCTCATTTCTTTGCCCTCCCCCCCTTCCTCCCCTCCCTTCCCATCTCCTCTCCTTTCTTCCATCTAACATTTCTCTCCCTATACCCCTTCCTGTTTCCATCTGTGGCCATGACCTGGTAAACACTTCACCTCTCGGAAGCCACTGGGCTTTTGCTAAACTTGGACTTCGCTCTTGCTGTGGGTCCCCCCAAAATCACTGCTGGTTGGTTCAGTGTCTCGGGGCTCCCAGCAGTGTTTGGGAGATGCTAATGGGCTCATGAACAGAGGGTCTGGCTGTATCCTCCTCACTGGCCCTGGGATGGTGGGTTGAGGGAGTAGCCAGGCGTGTCAGGTGAAGAACAATTCTGTGTCAGTGTTCCACTTCTTCAAGGCCATTTCCAATAGCTATGTGGACACTGATTTAACCTGGTCACAGTGATGCTAACAATGGGCAACAGCACGCTATGCTTGCTCCAAGCCAAATGTGTTATCTCCCAGATTCTCAAGAGCAGTCTCAGTGCTTTCCCCAATGTCCAGATAAGAAAACTGAGGCTCAGGGAAGGGATCATTTTCCTGAGGTCACAATCAGGACTGGAATCCTTCTCTCCCTGGCCCCCAAGCCTGTGAGTTGAGCCACTACACCACGCTGACTCTTCCCCACTAGCCAGTCGAGTACAATGAGATGCGCCCTACTGTTTCGCTCTCCTCTCCAGCCCTGGGCAGGGCAGAGGCAGCCGCTGCTGTGACAGGAGCACCTGTCTGGTCCCTGCTGCGCATCCCCAGGGAGATAATGGGCAGGGGTGGCAGCCTCAGCGCTGCGAGGGGTCGACTCGGCAGGCCCATGGGGTTCCTGCCAGCCGAGGAGCTGCAGCCTCCCGGAGAGCGTGACTTTTAGGCTGCGTGTGTGGGAGGCCTTTGGGTCTTAATTGAACAGCTTCCCTGGGCTCTCAGTCCAGGATAGACGGTTTGCAAGGAGGCCCTGCTGTGACCACCAGAGGGCGCAGCTCCCGACTCGCCTGGATGAGCTTTTGTGGCGGTGGTTGGGTAGCTGAGATTAGTTTGGGGTGTGGTTTTGTTTGTTTCTATTTGTTTGTTTTCGTTTTTGTTTTTGGTGTTGGGGGTTGAGCCCAGGGCCTTCACACTGAGCAACATCTTCAGCCCTTAAAAACAATCAAAAAATGTTTTTGAATATTGAGGTACAGTCTTACAAAGTTACAAAATTGCTCAGGCCTGGCTCAAACTTGCAATCTTCCTGGGTCAGCCTCACAGAGTACTGGGATCACAGGCATGCACCACCATGCTGGGCTGGGAACACTCTTAAACTGGCTGCTTGGAAGAGGAGACATATTTTCACATGGGTTTAAGAAATGCATTTGATTTAAGTCTTGCCAACCAGGGGCCTGAGGGATCCAACCGTGGAAACCACCTGCTTCTAGCCCTCAGCCTGCAGAGGAAAAGGGAAGCCAAAGAGTTAGAACACAGTGTGATCCATGCCACTGTCTCTACCCACAGTGGCCATTTAAGAAGCATTTCATAAGCAGCTACTACAGGCCACCTCTGACCTAGCTGCCAGGATAGAAAAATGAATAATAGAGACGTTGTTCTCAAAGAGCTACAGTCCACTTCGGCAAGAACACCACAGCTGAGTGGTCAAAGACAAGTAGGGATTAACCAGGCAAAGAAGGGGAGAGGCTCCCAGTGGTGGAAGATCAGGGTGTTAGTGGGGTGGGGTAACAGATATTGGGTACCATGTTAGGAAGCTTGATTCTTACCCAGAATGGGATGGAGGAGCAGGTAGTAAGAGAGTGAGGTGAGGGAAATAAGTTAATTCAGTGAGGGAGGACAGGAAATTACAAGTGTGCTAACTTCTGAACTGGACCAGGGAATGTGTAGGAATTCTGCAGACTAAGAAAGGAGGCAGTGGAAACTTTCCACATGAGGCCATTTTGCTACCCACTTTGCTTCTTTTCTCAATGACATTTTCCTTTTAGTTACTCAAAGCTGACAGGGCTGAGAGATAGAAAGAGAAGGGAAATGGAAATATCTATGTGGTATCGGGAGTGGTTTTAGTGAAAGGCCCTAAGACAAGAGGTGGATGAAGCTAGAGTGAAGATTCCAGGATCGGCTATTGTTCAGGCTTGAGCGTATCTAGTCCCAGGCTCCCTGGGACACCTGGGCTCAGGGTGGATGGCGGCCTGGGGTAGGGGTTGATGTGGAGGGTCTGTTTCGGATGCAGTTGAGAGATGCACCCTGAGCTGCCTTCACTTCATCCCTTCCCTTCTTGTGTCTTCAGCGTCCTCATCCGTGGAGAAGGGAATGACAATAGCATCTTCCTCCTGTGTTAGTCAGATTTTTGTTGCTGTGACTAAACACCTAAAAACAAAAACCAAAAAAAACTTAAAGGAGGAAAGGTTGATTTTGCTCTTGGCTTTAGAAGGTTCAGTCCATGGTCAGCTGGCTCCATTGCTTTAGGCCTGAGGTGAGGCAGAAACATCATGGCCGAAGGGCATGGCAGGGGAAGTCGCTTTTGTCTTGGCTGCTGGGAAGCAGAGAAAGAGCTGAGGAAGCCAGAGGGGAAGGGGCTAGAAGCAAACATGGCCCTTGAGGTCATAACCCCTGACCCACTCTCTTCAGCTAGACCCCACCTACTAGGTTTTCATCACCTTCCAGTAATGCCACCACATTATGACTCCATTCATCAGTAGATTTATCCACTGATGAAATTAGAGCCCTAGTGATCCAGTCATTTCCTGAATGCCCCATCCCTGCACACTGCTGTATTGGGGATGGAGCCTTTAACACTTGAGGCTTTGGCGGACTTAGCATATCCAAACCCTAGCAGTTGCTGTGATGTTTGAATGAGATCACACATGCAAAGCCTTTAATTCAGTCCCTGGGTCTTGGTCTGTGCTGAAATCAAAGTAGCAATGATAGTAGCTGTTGTTGGAATTGTTATTAACGTCATGATTAATCCTCATGTTTGGTAAAGTGAGAAGGCTTTAAAATGTCTATGTTTTCTGCTTAAGATTCTGGAACTGCCCTATCTTAGTTTCAGATCAAAGTTAATCAGCACCTGGCTGGAATCTGTTTTTAGTGTTTCCTCCTCATCTGCTTCTCAGTGTGAAGAGTCCTATTGGAAATCAAAGAACTGCATCTTCTAATTATCTGTTTGCAAGAAAGATGGTCAGGAAAAAAATAAATTCAAATGGAATCCTAAAAACTGATATTTTTATTTCAGGGACTGAATTATTTCAGTAGCTGAACTTGATGCTGCTTTTCTGGAGCTTTTTCAGAGTTTTTCCAGGGAACTGGGTGGGACTTGTGTTTGCTTTTACTCCATGGTAGCACGGGCTTTTCAGAGGGGCAGAGGGCACTAGGCAAAGTCCCTCCACTTACCACCTCTTTACCTAAAAGGTTGTGGCCCTTCTAGTTCCTCCCTGTGGGCTGTAGACCCTGCAGTGGGAGATTCATGCTGGGTCTCATTCTGTGCACATCTGGATATATCTCTCCTTTTCTCCCATTTCTGTCCCCCTTTCAGAGCCAAGAAGAAGAGCAAACCCTTGAACCTCAAGATCCACAGCAGTGTGGGCAGCTGTGAGAACATCCCTTCTCAGCAGCGCTCGCCGCTGCTGTCCGAGCGCTCCCTGCGCTCCTTCTTCGTGGGACATGCACCTTTCCTGCCCTCCACCCCACCTGTCCACAGCGAGGCCAACTTCTCTGCAAGTAAGTCGCTGCCATCGGGCTGCCCTGGGTAGGGGCAGTGGCTGCTACGTTGCCTCCTCAGCACCATCCGGGCCTGTGCCAGGTGCAAACTCTCCTCTTTGTCTTACTGCCTGTGAAATGCTCCCCGATCCAGTCACGGTTTGGAAGGGGGTATAATTGGCTCTCGGGAGGTTGACAGCTGTTGTCCTTAGCCCCCAGGTTCTGCTCTTTGGCCTGCAGGTGCGAGGGGATGACAGAAGCAAGCGAGCTTGCTGGAGGCACTAAAGGAAACATCACCCTTTCCTCTCCCTCCTCCCCACGTCTTTCAGCTGCTCACTTATAGGATTTTTTTCTAGGCCACTGTGAATGAAGCGTCTGTGCTGAAATTTTGTATTTCCTCTTCACTTGGGTCAACATGTCTAACCTTTACATCGCAAAGATGTATTTGGGTTTAAACCGGGCTGAGTGTGGCCCGGGGTGGTTTATATTCTGCTCTCACGAATTTCTGCCGGAGACAGAGTAGTTATTACAGAGCGGAAAGGGAAGTTTCTGGTGATCAAGGGCTGATGTTTCATTTCAAGGCTTTTCATCTTCTCTGCCCAGAGGCCCGTTTTGCTTAACTGGCACAGATGTGGTCAGAGGGGAGCCCCCCGAATAGGTCCCCCAGTCCTCCAGCCAAGACAGTGACTTTATTGATTGGTTGCTCAGGAAAAGGGAGGAGGCTGTTGTATTGCAGAGGAACTAACCCCTTCCCCTTAATACAGCCACAGGGTGCTTGTGTTGTGTTGCTGCTCTGATAAATGGGAAGAAATGCTTACAGAGCAAGAATAGCTGCTGATCGTCCACATGCACAACCGCCCTTAGTTCTTGCAACTATCACCTATGCAGATAAACTAGTCCTGTTGTACAATTGAGGAGACTGAGGCTTGGGGACAGCAGAGAACTCGCCCAAAGTCACCATGGCTATGGAGTAGTTGAGCCAAGATTTGAGCCTGGTTCTTTCTAACGGAGAGTCAGCAAGCTTAGCCATTGGGCGTGAATTGATAGCCAAAATTTCTCCAATAGCCAGCAAGAATGCCTTTCTCTAAATGTGGGGGTTATTGGTCATTTTACCTAAGTGTTCTTAAGTATTTTTCAGGGAGGCCACAGACCACTGAGACTGTGACGAAACCTGTGAATTCCTTCCCTGGGAAAAGGCACATGTAATATCCAGCATGCAGCTAGATGGCTAGGCTGGGCCTGAATGCTGAACTTGGCTCAGTTCATAGAGTGAATAGTGTATGGACCATGTGCTGCAAGAGTCAGCTGAGGGCCTGGACCAGAAGGACCCGCGTAGACATCAGTGAGGAGAAGACCCAGAACCTGGTCTGTCTCTGTGCTCGGGGTACACAGGCCCTGACTCAAGCAAACTAAAATAGCACCCATGACACGCGTGTCAACAGCAGAAGGCCAATTTATTAATTTATCAAGGGAAATCACTGTCAGAGAGAGCAGAGATGCTCCATGAGGTAGCCCTGTGTAGGAGCGGAGTGTGGCTGGATGGAGAGGACAAACAAAGCCGCGATGATGACAGATCACAGGTGTGGTGGCAACCAGGTGATCTCAGTGTTGAGGCCAGGAGGGTGGCCCTGAAGTGTGACGCCTGGGTTCACACCTCACTCTGCTACTTTTTCCAGCCGTGTGTCTCTGGCCTCGTGTGAGTCCAAAACCTCTCTGAGCCCCAACTTCCTCATCTGTAAAATGAGGATAATTATAGCTCATTATATCAACCAGCTTTTTCATCATTTGGACCAAATACCTAACCTAAACAGCTTAAAGGAGGAGAGTTTTATTTTGGCTCAGTTTCAGAAGTTTTTGTCCATGGTCATCTGGCTCCAAGGCAGAAACATCATGGCGGAGTCTGGGCTTGGCGGAGGAAAGCTGCTCAACCCATGGCTTCCAGGAAGCAGAGAGCAGGGGAAGAAGCCAGAGAGGAAGGTTGTACCCCACAACCCACCCAGACACACCCAGAAATGTGCTTTACTGATCATTTGCTAGGTGTCTCCCATGCCAATCAAGTTGACAATCAAGATTAACCATCACAACCACATACGTAGTTGGGAAGATCAGCTAAGCCAGGGGTGCCAGGTGTGGTACAGCCTAACACAAGACACATTTATTAACACACAAATGTTTAATAAATGGTAGCTGTACTACATTATTTATTAGTCACTTTCCCTACTAATGTTTACCAGCTCTGCTGCCATGATTAATTCTGCACTACTGGGGCTCAGTGCCTCACAATTCACCCCATCCCTTGCCTCTTCCCTATGGCCTAAGTGTGCTTGGAATTTACCTTGGCAGAATGCTGGGTGGCTGCCTCCAGCAGCCATCTGTCCTCGGGCACCACCGTCCAAGGAGTGAATGTCACCCTGGTCTCCTTGAGGGAGTTGAGCCCTGCTCTGTACTTTAGTTTTGGCCAAAGACATCTCCTGTCTTCTTTAAACAAACAAACAAAAATCAGACTGTACATTTTGGTCCCCTTCCCAAAGGGGTTGCTTCCTCCACAACTTTTCTGCCCCTGTCCTATCTCCAGCTGAGAGAAGGGCTTGTCTGGTGGCCTGGGGGCAGCAGCAAAGACCTTCATTAAAAGCCAGCTTCCGGCATGGAGAGGCCCCACAAGCACAATCATCTCTTATGTGCAAAGAGGTCTCCCAGAAAGAGTTCTGATCTCCCGGAAAAGAACAAGATAGCACTGGGCTCTCACTGGGAGAATGAGTGTGTAACCCAAGTATTAGCTGGTACCCCACGGGCCAGTCCCACTTCCATTGTTCCTAAGGAACAGCAGAAACTAGGCAGCCTGTTTCTTCTCTCTGTTGGAATCTCCTGGTCTCTGCCTGGCATGTCAGCTGCAGTGTCACAGTTCAGACTCACAGCAGTCTGAGGCAGATGTCATTATTCCTGTTTTAAAGTTCAGGAAACTGAGCCTCAAAAGGTGTGGTCTTGTGCATGTGCTTTTGAATCCAGACGCAACTGTGTTCCATCTCAGCAGTGCAGCAAGCTTCTTTATCTGGGTCTCAGTTTCCCCAAATGTACAGTAGAGACTCCATGGTCCATAGGTGAGATACTCTGTGATTCCTAGGTTCACTCCCTGAACGTTTCCTAGGAAAACCTTTGACTCATTTAAGAAGGCTGGTTTTGGAAAGAACATAGCTGCTGGATGTTGGCTTCTCCTACATTGTCTTAATTCCCAGTCCTGTGCCACTCTGAAGTTAAGAAAACTCCCTGCTTTGGGGGTACAGTGCCAATCTCCCTTCTGCTGTCCCAGCCCAAGAGCTCCTGGGGCTGTATCCTTCTCAGGATGTATCTGTCTGTCCACTTGTCACCATCAGCTCTGACTTTGGTCTGCTCTAGGAGGGGCAATGACATCATCCTGTTAGCCCCGATGGTGATGTCAGGAGGCAACACCAGGCATATCTGGCCATGCAGTGGCCAAGCCTCAGGGGGAGCAGCTACCTCCTGTGGGCCTCAAAGAAGACTTTATCTCCTTGGGACTTACCCTATGTCTGTGGTCCCAGGTTGACAAATAGGGGAAGGGTGGGAGTGACAGGAGGCTCTGCTGACGGGGGAACCATGGCTCCCCAAGGACTACAACCCTTCATATGGACTCAGTAGGGTATGGACAAAACCCAGATATCAGACTCTTCTGTTCAGCCTGTAAGACTCACAAATGAATCTGCTCCCCAAGAAATAGAGAGCCACAAACTTATCTCTTCATCCTTGCTCAAGACAGTTACTCCTTGATTTATGATGGGGGTTATGTTCCCCATAAACCCATCAAAAGTTGAAGTTACCATAACTAAAAATGCATTGAATACACCAAACCTACTGGACAGCCCAGCTTAGACTCACCTACCTTAAAGATGCTTGGAAAAGTTGCATTAGCCTACAGGTGGGCAAAACCATTGAGCACAAAGCTTATTTTACTATATCGTTGAATACCTCGTGTCACTTATTGAATAATATAGTAAGAATGAAAACCAGAATGGCTGTAGGAGCATACCACTGTAAAGTCCAGAGAAGTGTTGAAGTCCAATCATGAACCATCAGAAATCAAGGACTTTGGAATTTATTCTGGGATGCTTTGGGGTACACTGTGCTGTTTAGGTGGGGTCTGGTTGGATGTTCTCTACCCGTGCCCTTGCACGGACACTTGCTGGAGCAAGGGTGACCTCTGCAAGGTGAGGTCACAGCTGTGCACTTGTGGCTCTTTTTAGGGTATCTCTGGTCCCAGCTGACAGAGGTGAAGCTGTCTTTGAGAACCCTAAAAAAGCTGCTTCAGAATGAAAAAGTGTCACCCAGACGAGATGATCGTTATCTGTCATTGTTCATTACCGTTTGCTGGAAGTGACTCCGGGTCTCTAGCAACTAAATGGATGCAGAAAACGCGAGAAATGCTACACTGGGCAAATCATTTAACCCCCCCCCCCAGTGTGCTTTCCACCCCACAAGGATGTAGTGAGGATAAAATGAGGAATGCCTGTAAATTTCCACCCCGGAGGCTGGAGCTTAGAGCAGTGAGTCTCAATAAAGGGTGGTTCGGGGGCTATTATTGTATGTTACGAGATGGGGTGGCTTGCAACAATGCTGAAAATGATGATAATAATAGCCATTGGTATTTATTGTGTGTTGACAATGTTTCAGGCATCATACAAAGCAATTTCCTTTTACGATTTCATTTATGCTTTACAATCCTCTGTAACTGCCAGTACTATTATTATCTCCATTTTACAGATGAGGAAATTGGGGCTGGGAGAGTTGCAGTAAGTGGCCCAAGGTCCCAAGGTCAGGAAAGATGTGAAGTCTGAACTCATTCTGAATCCGTTGTTTAATAATGCTGGACTGTGAAATAGCAAATTGTACTCGGCTTGCTTGTCAAGGAGGGACTTAAACTTGTTCAAGTTTCCTCTGCTATTTGGGGGACCCTGTCATGGGGGACAGCCTTGCTGGAAAGGCCGCCTCCTTGTTAACATGCCGCACTT